ATCATTATCAGCATCACGATCATCATTATCATGATCATTATGATCATTTTTATTAGCATAATTATTATCATCATAATTTTTATCATTATCATTATTATTAACAACATTATTATCATTATTATGATCATTTTTATCATAATCATTATTATTAACATTATCATTATCATCATCTCCAGTATTATCATCATTCTCATCATCAATATTATCATTATAATCATTATCATCATCAGTATCATCACAATCTTTTATAGTATCTTTATTATTTAAAACATCGTTTTTTTATCATAACATTTATCCTTATCATCATCATTAATATAATCATTATTATTACTATTATTATTATCTTTATTATCATCATTATCATCATCATCATTCTGATCATCAACGTCATTATCAAAATTCCTATTTTCATTATCACAAGCATCATTATTATCATCTTTATCAGCACCATCATCATCATTATCATCAGAAGCAGCATTATCATTATCATCATCATCATCAAAATCATTATTATTAAAATCATCACCATAATTATCAGTCTGATTTGTATTGTAATCATAATAACTATCAGCATACGCCATTTCATTTTTATGAGTATTATTATTACGTTCTCATCATTATTATTATCATTATTATCACCATCATCATCATTATGACTATTATTTTAATTATTGTCACGATTACTAACATCATCATTATCATTATCATTATTATTATCATCAACATTATGATTATCATTTTAATTAGTATCACCACCATTTACATCATCATCATAATCATGATTATCCTAATCACTATATTCCTTATCATCATTTTTATCCTCCGTAAAATCATTTTTATCATCTTTAACCTCATTACCATTATTATCATCATCATCATTATCTTTATTATCATTCTCATAACTATTATCATTATTACTATAATCCCTATTTTATTATTATCGTTATCATCATCTTCATCGAAATTATCAGCATTATCATCATCACCATAATCGTAATCATCATCATTATTACTATTTTAATTAGTATCACCATCATTAACATCATTATTTTTGTTTTCGTCATCATAATCCTTATATTTTTTACTATCATATTTAACATTATTATCAATTTAAAGATTATAAAACTCAACACCCTCATTTCCATTATTATTATTATTATTATTATTTTTATTACTATCATTATTGTTATTTTAATCATAATCACTATCATCCTTATCATCTTTTTTGTTATTATCATTGTCATCATCATTGTTATCATTATAATCATCATGGTCATTATTATAATAATTATTATCTTTATTATCATTATATTGGTCATCATGATCATTATTTTAATCAT